GGCTCCTGAATAGGGTGGCATTATGACGCCGACTGCTTCGGGCTTGTGTTACAGAGCGATATTCTTGGATTGAAAGGTTTGTTTGAGATCCACATCAGCTGCTCGTATTAAGTCCAGGCCCGCCTTTATAGTTCTGCTCCCCTAAGCCCCCCACCCCGAAATCCTTGATGGTGCTTAGATAGTCTTAAGTCGGGTTTCCAAGCCTTAAGCTCTAACCTGCTAAGGGAACCCTATGGAAACCTATGAGCCCCAGAACACGCTACGACAAACCCTAAACCATAGTTCCGAAATCGCCCAGTCGCCTAGGAGCGGGCAGTCAAAAAAGGCATCCGCTGTTGGGCCGCAGGAGCAGTTGAGGGTTTGGGGGTTAAGGCTTTACGTTGGAGAAGGGCTTGGGGTTCGGGGTCCACACGCCCAAAAAGATTCAAGAAGGAGGTTTCAATTCATGTCTAACACGTGCCAGAGCCCCGAATCAAAGCCTTGAATGTCCGGATTGCAGGTATTTCGACATAGCAGAGGGTAGTTGGGAGTCTCAGCAGAGTGAAAAGTGTTAGGTTCTGGGGCTCGGACTACGAAGTTGTGGTAGCCCCTTCCTGTGAGATTTGTATGTCCTTTAAGTGGTTCAGTCATCTACACTGCCGAATATGTAACCATGTGTGAGATTGGGTGTAGGGTTGTGTGTGTTGCAGTGTTGGAAGCTCATACGTGACATGGCTCCAAAGTCAAAACATGGCCAAAAGACATATGCCAATAGCGTAGCCCAATAGTTGCGCCTGAAGCCCTAAACCCTTAAAACTTAAACCTATAGTTACACCCACAACATCAGACCACAATTTAGGTGGAGGTTGCCTGAACCGAGGCCTCTCTGTTGAGGACTCCGCCCTAACAAACATCCGGGATCTGTAGGGCTTGTATGATTGCATTTACCCAAAGGGTCCTATGTACCGATATGGTAGAATGTAGGGTTTCCATATTCGGAATTACTATTATGACTTTGGGAAGTATTCCCCATAACAGTACATAGGACCCTTTGGGGTAATGCTTTGTCTCACCGGTCCTTGTGCTGCTGGACAGTCAGAGACTCCGCTAGGACAAGACGTAACTTGGAGTGCATCGCAGCATGTAAATCTTCAACCTATTTTACACACCCAAACGGCCAAACCCTCCGATGTCCAAATACGGTCCGAAAACAAAACACCAGAGCCCAACAACCCACCATGCTAAAAAAAACCGAGCCCTGATAGAACCCCTGTGCAATCATTTTCACGACAAGAGAGCATCGGGTTTTATGCAGAGTTGGCAGGACAGTACAGCTCCGGCCTTAGCAGAAGAGGATCCGGAAGACGATTTTGGGCTTACGGAATGGGGTTTGGGGTGTTGGTTTGTGTCAAAGAGCTTTACCAGGAATTTTAAACACAGCTCGTTATTGAAACTTGAGCATTTTGTTAGGCATGCTAAACTTGTAGGTAGGTAAACCCAAGCCGGACTCGAAAGGCTGTGCAGTATAGCACATTCTTTTCGTGCATCGGTTGAGCTTTTTTAGTAGAAGTCGCTTTCGTCACATAAACTCCTACGTTCTAGATCCTGGCTGCAACTGGGTTCAGGATAGGACGTTGGTTGCCCGAGTACCGAAAGTTTTCGTGGGCGCTCGGGGGTTGCGGCTTCTGCAAATAGCTGGGACGTTCCTTGAATCCATCTCGTAATGTAACCCGATCCCCAAACCCGAAAAGCGTTCTTATGTAACCCCAAGCCTTGGACCCTCAACCTCGGTCATTAAGGTTTCGGGGCTTTGGGATTACACGACTTCTGGATGTGTGTTGCCAGCTCAGGGAGGCTCCTACTCATCAGCGCAGTAGGGTTTAGTGTCAGGGTTAAGGATTTGGGTGGGAGTTGCTGAGAAGCTTTGGGAAAAGGAGTTAGATGGGTTTAGGCTTTGGGGCTGTCGGGCAAGCCGACACCGCTTTGAGGTCACATCTACCAGTGCATGAAGCCGAGAAGCACCAGCCGCTGAGACTCGAAATCTCTACCCCAAGCCCTAAACTACTTCAAATGCCAAAGCCGTGAACCCTCAACTACCTCAAAAAAGCAAACCCTAAACCATTCGAAACTACGGAAGCCCGTACCTGCCTAATCAGAAGAATAGTAAATAACAATAATGAAACGAATTAGTAAGAGAATAGTAATCATAGTAGCCATAAGAGAAAGAATCGTACTGGTAGCGCTATATTAGTACAAAGAGTTACTAAGGTTACTAATTGTACATCGTACTTAGATTTCTTGCGGTTGAGCCTGTGGGAGATTCAGGGGGTGCCGGGCTTTCCTTTTTCTCCCGGAATGGATGTCTTATGGCCCCTGGTAGTGGGAATGCAGGCTGTAAGAGTACTACGGCACCCCCGGGCTTAAGGGTGTAGGGTTTCTGTGTAGGGTGCCGGGTTAAGCCCCAAGCACTCTGCCTGAAGCGTGTTTTTCTTCGATTTCTGCGACTTCAGAAATCTCGTTGTAAGGAGCCCTTAAGTTGTCTAACAAATGAAAACAACGCGTGCTGAAGGACTCCATCAATAGCCAGGCTCTTCTGTAATGTGGCTCGAAACCCGAAAATTCGACCCTTGTACAACCCAAATCAAAAAAGTTGATAATAGTCATATGTAACCACACAATGTCCAAGCTCTGCTTCTACCGAACCTGAACCATAACATGCTTCGAACCGCACTGCACGTCCGAAACCCTTACGCAACCGCTATAATGAGCAAGCCTTTTCAAGACCCCATCATAGAAAGACGAATAGAACCCTAAACCCTACTAGTAACCCCTAAACCCCTAAACCCCTGAACCCCTAAACCCTCCCTTAACCCTGAAGAACCTACCTTTTTAGGGCTCCTTACTATAATTTCTTTATATAAGTCTTCAAAAAGGTAGGTTATTCCGGGTTGAGGTCCCCCCTTTTTACCAAGAAAGCCCGAGGTCTTCCCACGCTGCCCCCGGCCGCAGCCGCACCCCCTCGGCCGGAGGCGGCGCAGTCCAGCGCGGCCTGAAGGAGCTTTGGTGCAGTGGAAGGTGTACGGCGCTTTTAATATAGGGGCCTCAGTAACTTTGGGACCCACTATACAATATGGGTGGTTGTCAAAATTATAGGGTCCCTTTATGGGTCCCTATTATAGTACGGCACCGAATATTTAGGGTTCCCCAAAAGGGACCGTAATTTTGACAACCGCCCATATAACTATTAGAAGGGTGTGTTCAGAAGGCTGTTGTAGGGTTTTAGGAAGACTATCACGGTGTAGGCTTATACTGTAGAAGCCTTACTAATTCTGACGGTCTCTTATTAGACCCCAAAGCCCTAATTATTCAAGTTTTGATATTGCGTTGCTTTGCAGGAGAGGTGGTGCCCGCCACTGTTTCCATGTTCCAGCGGCTGACGGGCTCGAAGCCGATTTTGACAGCTGTTCAAGAGGCAGTTCTCTAAGTTAGGGCTCCAGAAGGGTTTCATCAACGTTCTGTAGCATGCTAGATTATGAGCCTTGAATCCTTAGAAAGAGCAGATGGCTGGAGCCAAAGGTGAACACTGGCCCTAAGTTTCACAACCGGCTGCAAACTTTATGAAGTTTTGCTGTTGGTTGGAAACCCCCGACCATGCGTCCTTAGTGCTTTGGCGAAAATCTTAGAGATTGCTGGGACCACAACATGTTAATTTCCGTCGCGCGGTTTAGCTGCAGAGATTTTGCGGTTGTCAAAGCCCTGGACTTCAGTGAAGGATACGGCACGTGAAGTGGTTTTCGTTGTTGCAAGCCGCATCCGGAGAACTGCCCGTCTTCAGGCAAAAAAGCCGTGCTGCAATCCAGCATCACCTTCACAGGCTTGCAAAAGCTTTATTCGATTATTTCTCATGCTGTTGGTTCAAGTTGCATTGTTTTATCCGGACCCTTGGAGCATCAATGATTGGCACGTGGTGAGATGCTACATTGCATCATGCTGGAGGCCTTTTAAGATGCTGTGCTTCTTCACTCATGTGAAGCACTGGTGTGGCTTCCGTGGCTTGGGCGGAAGGCGCAGCCTAAGCCATGCAGCACAACATGTTTCACTCGTTGCCCACGATCCTGCAGAAATGGGTGTTCTGAGTTTGATGGGGTCTTTGCAAGGTGTCCGTAATCCGACCGTTTGAGTTTGGTTGCAGCGTTTTTAGGTGCCTCCTCGTTTTCGGAAACTCCCATATCAAGATTGTCGAGAGACTTCGCATCCTGCGGCAGAGGCGCGGCAGAAAACGGCCCACAAACCAATCCCTGTGAACTGCGTGCGAAGTTTTGAACAAGCCGACTGCATCATGACACACAATCGCTATTAACCATTTCCTGAGATCGAAGCTGTAAATGAATCGGCCACCACAAGCACAAAAGCAAACGAAGTGACTCTTGCAGTCGCCTTGGCAGCTATGGAAATACCAAGGTGAAAGTGCCGCAGATTTGTTAGTTGGATGTGAATCGCAGGGCGAACGCATACATGAGAGGGTCATGTCGGTCAGCGGCTTGAGGCAAACCGAATGGCTAGTCACCTTGCAGAAGAAGCTCCAAACTGCGTGCTCTAAGGTGAACCTTATTTAGCCGTATCCACCAAGTCCTTCACGAGCCTCTAAGCAGGAGCTATGCTATAGTAATAGCATCCCGGAAGGAACATGATGATAACCCTGCAAAGCGGATCCTCGACTCCCTAAACTCGAACCCTAGAGCCCTGGACCCTAAACCCTATAGCCCCCTAGTTTCCAAAATGACCTAACCCATCAATCAAAGGCTACAGAAACTCCCTTGAAGAGAAAAGATGACTATAAACCCTAAAGCGCAAACACCCTCGAAACCCTACACCCGAAACCTCAAGCCTGAACCTGAAAAAAGCATCAAAACCCTGACCTTCCAATATACCTTAAATCATATTAGGGATCCTACGATAATGTAAGGGGTGTTCCTTAATTAAGGGATTTTGGAAGGTCTGGGAACCCTGCACCCACTGAGGGCGGTTCCCCGGCACCCTGCGCTCGGGCGGCCTGGGCCTTCGACCAGCCCGAGCCCGAGGCGCGCCGCCGCTGAACCCACACACTACTAAAGGCTACACCTTGTTGAGGCCTTAATTAAGCCCTGCACCCTAAACCCTCAAGCCCCGTAACCCTACACCGCAGCCCCTACAACTCCAAGCTCCTGTTCCTGTGTAGCATCCCTGATAGCAACTCTACGCCCCAGTTTTGACACTTGCTTCTGCGCTTTGGGTAGGCCCCGACTTTCGGATTCGCTGAGAGCCCATCATCGCCGGCCATGGACAGGTGCGCTCCCCTAGCCTTCTGGTTTTCGGGTTTGGGGTTCAGGTTGAGGGCTAGCGGTTCAGGGATTAGGCTTGAGGATTGAATGCAGGGTTTACAGGGTTTGCGGTTTACGATTTGCTGGGCTAGGACATACTAGTTCACTGATTAGTAGTCACAGGACAATACCCACCCATCCACCCACAGAATCCGAAACCCTCAAGAAAACACGTTTTCTTAGTAGCTGAGCTATAGGTAACCTTTAACCTTTTGGGCTCTACAGACTCCTACCATAAATGCAAAGCTGACTCTTGTTTTGGCCAGGGTACTCAGCCCTTTAGTTTTCATTATGTAAGGTAGACCTAAACCCTAAACCCTAAACCCTAAACCCTAAACTAAGGTAGAACCAGTCCAGTCTGGGCTCAAAAACTTACAACCCAGACTTGGCTCGAAACCTTACACTTAGAAGCTGCCCCCCCCACCCTGTTATAGTGACTATAAGGAATATATTGGGGCCCTCTTATATTCCTATTATACCACTATTACATGGTGGGGGCCCCTTCTAACCTTACACCCTAGAGGCCTATTCTCGGCCCTAACCAGCTGTAAATACACCGTTTATCGGCATAGGCAAAACGATTACATATATGGGTGTTGTCAAAATGGTGGTCTCCTTTTGGGTACCCTAAATTTATGTGCCGTATTATAAGGACCCAAAAAGGGACCCTAATTTTGACAACTACCCATATGTCAAAGTCGGCTTGTCTGGAGGCACCCACTTGCAGACATGCCTACAGGCTCACTACGAATTGGCTTCAAACAACGATTCTGTTTGCGGCATCTCCTTGACCCAGTGCTCCTTGACCCAGCGCTCTAAGTTTGGAAGCGAAGTCTGCGAGAAACTAAGCCCAAGACCCCTCACAAGAGCCACAAGGGTCAGAAACTAGACGCAGCTCCGAGGCAGCCCTTAGCAGCCCAATCATGACATCATGAGTCCGCCCTCAAACCTACCGTAAACGTTTAGGGATTAGGGTTTAGGGTTCTTATCAACCCTGTGCCCAGGACCCGCTCCCTGGGATCCACCCGGGCCCCACCGACGATGCTTGAGCCATCGTTTTGGGGCTTTAGGCAGTTCAGGGTTTGGGAGGTTCCACTTCCGAGAGGACTCCATGTTTCGAATCTAACAAGGTTACTACTCGATTGATATGGTTAGTTGTGAAAAATGATACTACTACGAATCATATCTATATCTAGCAACAGCAGTCAGGAATGACAACAAATCATATATGTGGGGAGGCTCAGTTTGCCAAAACCATTACAGGCATCGTCCTTGGGGACCTGATTACCTGATTCCATATTGCTAAGACGTATGACCCTTTTTGTTTCGTAGCTGAGTACCTAAGCGTTGCACTCGTTTTGGAGAGGTGGGCGTGCACAACCCCCTTCAGAATTCTGAACTGACAGAAAGTTTGATTTGTTTGCTTATGAGCTGAGCAGCTAAGTCTGTCAGGATTCCATGGCAGGCAGAGTTCCAGATCGCCTGCTCGGCCATTCGTAAAGTCGAGATGTAAGAAGCTATGGTTTTACAAGAGGGTGTACGGGGCATAAGGGTTCCACAGGAGTTTCAGCATTGTTTGGAGCTTGGGGGCTGTATTTTGCGCTTCAGCATTATTTTAGGATTCATTTTGCGGGTGAGCAAAGATCGAAATCCCAACCTTGTGCCCGTCAGGCTTTATGTGTCAGGCTGCTAAGCACGTGCCACCCAGTTATGGTTGCAACATAGGGATCACAGCTATTCCCTCATATAGCCAGCACATCCAAAACCCCCGATTATAAAACAGTCAGGCTGCTACAATCAATATACGTAATATAATATATATATATATATATATATATATATATGTGCAGCTGCACGGAAGATTCTGAAAACCTGGGTGTGTATCGATTCGGGTACATGGAGACTTTCCACTCTAGGCAAAGCTTGATCAAGCCGCAATTTTTTTACAAACGCTTATGAAATCCATGGGTATCCCAACAAAGCCGCATGAATCACTGTCGCAATCATAGAAACCTGGTTATTAGACTTGTACACCCAGAGCGGGAGACTAATTGCTCCCCTGCCGTCTCTGTTTGCTCCAGTGGCTTGCAGCCACCCAGCTCTTCATGCCAACCCTGCTTAGTCGCTTTTGCACGCATACTTCAAATTCACCTTAAACCCCAAGCCCTCTCAAAATTGCTTGTCCCAGCCTAGACTGGTCAACTGGGTACTTGCGCTTTGAAGAGGTTTACAGCCTAGCCGAAGCAGTAAAGCGGTTCAAGGCCCGAAACCTAGCCCAGGATCCTAAGCCACCCAGCACGAAAACCACATTCAGCCCGCGAACTCGAACACTACAGTCCGATAGGCTCGAACCCTATGAGCCCAATATCGCCCGTAAATCCTACAACCCGCCCGGAACCCTTCGAAATCCTGTAGAAGCCTTACAACACTGTGATCTTTCATAAGTCCTGCTAGCCCTTCGCAATGGCAACTCCGACTGCTTCGGTACGTCCCCAGAGTGTGGGAAACGGCCTCCATGTGCCTCGGTCTTCGAGCCTGAATTTGGGGTTTAGGGTTACTCGCGCGGTGTTACAGGCTTAAAGTCTGAGTCATGCTGCACTTTCTTTCGGATTTCCGTTCAGCTTCCTTGCGCCTGCTGCGTCAATATGATGCTTGATTCCAACGTCCGGCCCAGCCCGTGACTCAAAAAAGGGTTACTTGGGGGTTTAGAAATGCCTAAGATGGTTTGTGTTTGGAGTACGTTGAGGGGCCTAAAGACCCTTAGAAGCCCTTTATAAAGCACCCTTGCAGGCCCTGAAGCTTCAAAGACCTAAACCCTCTGCCCTCCCCCTCCTAAACCCAGTGTCTTCCCCTGGGGCACTCGAAAAGCTTCGTCTGCGAGGCGCAGGGTGAGACGTGGGCTGAACCCTGCGAGGAGGAAGCCTTGTTGGGTTGGTTTTCCAGGTTTTGTGAAGGCTCATCAGGGTATTTTATGCGATTCTGGGAGGGTTCGCTCGGTTTGTACTGGGATTTTCGTAGAATGAACCCCAAACTTAATCCTTAGCCTTAAACCTAAAACGACTTGCAGAGTCGCCGGATCCATAGAGTGTCACCTTATATAAGTTCAACCTCAAGTCTAAGTCCTGTCCTAAAGCTGGACGGAGCGCTAACGAGCAGCCTTGAGATATGTGGTTTAGGGTTTAGGGGTCTTTGTTTTGGACCTGACTTGAAGGATCAGGGGGCTGCAGGCAGCTTACAGCAGGTTTTGCTGTAACGGGAGCCACTTTTGGCTCACGCTTCAGATGCCTGTCAGTTTACATCTTACTTCTAACTCCCCTGACACCTTCTACCAATACTTTGCGCACCCCGTAGAAGCTGTAGTGTACCCCGCTAAGGGCACAAGCATCTGAAACCTGGAACCTAAGGTAAAGCCGAACCTTGGAGCCTAAGCCTTGCGTGGACCGTAGCCAACTTATGTATTTTACAAAATGACCCATCGAAGCAGAGGTTAAAACCCTTACAATGTATCCTTCTTATGATTCAGGAAGCCCCAAAACGCGAAAACCCCAACGCCAACCCCAGAACCCAGATCCGGAGAACCTTTAGAACCCTGCCATGTCCCTTCAAGGATCCCTTACCCTAAACTGGCCTAAACTTTGGCCCCCAAACTCACAACCCTAAATCGCCATATCCTAAACTATGAATTTAAAGGCCTTAAAGCCTTCGATCAGGCCTCTCGGCAGAGTGCAAGTGGATCGAAACCACAGTGGAGAGTTTGAGACTGTGTGCGACACTGGTGCACCTCCGCGAGGACCTCCATGGGCATGGGAACGACAACAGAACGTCGCTGCACGATGCAATGGCAGGGACGTCCGATGCCGAGGAAAATGTCCGCTCCCGGCATCAGGACGGCAGCGGATCGGCTCCCCACCGAACCCAAAGGGTCCAAGTGTCATTATGCTATATACTTAGAACCCCAAAATGCCCTATAAGTATATACCATAATGATACTTGGACCCTTAAGCGTCGGCGGTTGCCAGTCTCACCCTGAAAAGGCGGGTGGCCCCCAGCTCCTCGGAGGCCTGCCCAGACTGCCTGTCTCCGATTGCCGGCTTCTGCCGGAACCAGTCGAAGCGGCGCAGAAATGTTCCTCCCCGCTTCCCATCTCATCGCTGTCCAGCCCACAGGGCTTTGACGTCTTCATGGCCGGGAGAATGCATTGCAAACCTATTATTGCCCGTATATAGCCCTCAAAGGAGCCCTTGATGGAACACTTAAACACCCTTTAAGCCCCAAATAGAAGCCTAAAGGGATCATGTAGCGGAGTCTTATGCCCAAAGGCTGAAGATCCTTGTGAGAACCCAAACTTGCCCTAGACCCTAAACCCAAAGCCCTTAAAGATGGAACCCTTTTAGTCTTCTAGCTCCCTTCATTAAGTTAAAGGAACCCTTTAAAGACCCCTTACAGGGATCCCTAAAATGTCGCCCTTTGCAGGATCGCGGCCGTCTTATCGAAATCGAAGCCCCGGCGGAGGTGCCTGGGGCGGGGCGTGCGCTGTCTCTTGAAAGGGTCTTAAAAGGGTTTTATTGAAGGGCTTCAGGGGGGCCTGAAGGGTTCCTTTAAGGGTGTCCTAGGTTTGATAGTGTATTACAGGGTTTCTTGAATGGTTTACTAAGGTTTTGTAGTGTCTGAGGGCTTCCTTAAGGGTTCTATCGGATTTGAGCCAATCTTTCCCGAAACCCCAAGCCAAGGCCCTCAGGTAGAAGCCTTTTACTTACAGAATCCTTGGGGAGAGCCTTTGTAACTCTGCACAAATAGAAAGCCGTATACTTGTATACGTTTAGAACCTCTAGGGGGCCCTTGTAACCCTAAACCGATAGATGCCTTATACCTATATATTTATAGAACTTTTAGGGAGCCCTTGTAGCCCTAGCTTGATAGAAGCTGTTGTCAGCAATCCATCGCAGGAGAAGGATGCGAGCAAGCTGCAAAGGACGCTGCCTGTAGCCAAGTGGCTCGGGATCACTGCCGCTTGGATCATTGAGGTCCTCAGGTCTAAACCCAAAGCAGCCTTAAAGCCTGAACCCCGAAGCTTAGCCTTAAGCCCACTCAGCCTTAAAACCTGAACCCTAAACCCCAAAGCCACTAAGCCTAAGCAGTGCCTAAGCCCTAGATCCAAATCCTAAACTCTGAACCCTCGATTCCAAAGCTTAAACCTTTATATCCAAATCCTAAGCGCTATAGGCCTTAAACCCCAGGCTCATAGGATGGTAATAATCTAGGGTGCGCGGCTCTTAAGGTCTATGGCTCTTAGGGCTTTTATTGTTTGCGATTTCGGGCTCTTCGTCTGCAGGGTGTTTCGAGCTATTGGGGTTTGGGGTTTGGGATTTTGCTGCTTCCCCGCTCATCGGCAGATTTTTGGTTACAAAACGGACTGCTGCGTGGTGCTCTGGGTTCGGAAAGGGGCTGGGGACTTCTAAACTAAGAGGGTTTGGGGTTCAGGGTTCCCTAAGGGTCCATGTACCTAATAATCATGTATACTCTCCAAAAACCTAACCTACATGACTACTATCCCAAAACCGAGTACCTGATTGTTAGGTCATTTGGACCCTTGAGGGTTGTGTGTTGTTCAGACTTGTACCGTGCCCTACCATAGGCTAGCTGCTTGGTGCCCCGGTAAGTTACGCGGGAGGTGGTTATTATCAGGATCCTGCAAGAAAGGTCCCCTTTATTCCAGGTAGGGCTGAACTGTAGTCCTGTTGGATAGGTTTAGGGTTTAGGGGCTAACTTATTTTTGTGGCCAGAACCGGACAGTAGGAAGGCAGGCTTGTGCAAAAGCGCAAGTCGTTAGATTGGCATGCGTCCTAAAGTCCTGTACCCTGGTACACCTGCCTAGACCCTGAACCGCTCAACCCTTAGCCCTGGACCCTTAAACCCTAAGACCTGCCCTAAACACCTCAAGCTCGAAGGCCTTTCAGATGGTCTACGTGTGCGTCAGCACCGGTATGGGAGTTATCGTCTTGCCACAAGAGGCACCCCGAGCCGACTGGAGCAGGGTTTGCGGCACGTGGTTGTCCTACATAAAGCCCTAGCGGGGATCCCAAGACCTACCGTTTTAAGGGTTCTACCTTCTAAAAAAAGGGGTCATAACCTACTATTTTGTACGGTTTGGGGTCACAGGTACACCCTCGACCCAAACCCCTAAACCCTAAACCCCTACATCCCTAAACCCCTAAACCCTAAACCCCTAAATCCCCAAAGCCTAAACCTGAAACCCTGAACCCCGTAAGGCCCTAAGGAAAGGCGTTTGTATTGGGGTGCTGGGGCTTCCAGGGCTTCGCAGTACCAAGCAGTACCTGAGTTGGTTAAAGAAGGTCTTTAGCTTAAGCCCTAAACTAGGTAGGGCTTTGGGACATTTTATATTTTCTATTATTGGGCCTTACCCACTAGGATTTTTCAAAGGCTTCAAAAGCCCCTCCTAGTAAACAACTAAACCCCAAAACCCCTAAACCCTAAAACCTGAGCGCTGCTGTAACGGCTGGCCTGGATTTCCGAGTCCAGGCTGCCGGGCTCCGTCAGACGTTCGGTGGGGGACCTTTCTGCCCAGACCTTCCAAAATCCCTTAATTAAAGAATATCCCTTAAATTATAGTAGGATCCTTAGTCTAATTTAAGGTATATTCCTTAATTAAGGGATTTTGGAAGGTCTGGGTGAATCTCAGCCCTGATGTTCCGGGGCATGTGTAGGGGTTCAGGGTTTTAGGGGTTTGGCTGAAGGGATTCAAGGCTTGGTGCATTGGAGTCCCTGCTCTAAAAAGGGTTTAGGGGTTTAGGGTAGTGGTCATCTTTGGCATGTTGCAGCAGTTGGGTGAAACGATCACGACATTTTCATGGATTCCATTAGGCAAGAAGAGAAGGTTGCTCCCCTCTAATCTCACGAAACGAACGATGAGAAAGACGTCCATCCAGGATGTGAGAGGGCTTTTTGCCTGAATCCACGTGGACTCGATGTCTAAGCGTACACTTCTTGCTTATGCCTGAGCAACTTATCCAAAAATGGGTGTTTCCTCATATAAGACGTTCTCGGTTAGGCTGTTCCTGAAAATGTCTAGGGTCTGCGCCGTGTCTATATTCACGGCCCCGATTTGCTTGAAACCTGCATACGGCTCGACATCCGGTGCTTCATAGAAGGTCTGAACCCTTGGTGAGGATCTCTATACAACATGCCCCAATAGTAAAGCCTGAACCCTGGTCTAAGTGTTAAGGCCCAATATCAAATCCTACTCTTATCCTTCAGGCCCCTCTCTCCTCAAGAATCCTTACAGAACCCTATGCTACGCCCGCCCCATAGACGCAACCATTAGCCTGTCGGCACGATGCGAGGCGGAACGCTTCCACCAGCCCAACTCGAGTATGTGGGTGGGTGCCCCTCGGCTTCTCAGGCCATCCTGGCCATGAGGTTTATTAAGGGTTTAGGGTCAAAGGCTACCGGGGTTTAGGGCCAGGATCTTCCATGGGGCTTATAAGACTACAAGTATACAAAAGGCACCTACTTTGAGGTCCAAAGCCAATAAAATCTGGGCTATACTAGAGATCCTTTGAGGGATCTATCTAGCGACTCTAGAGCCCCCTAATGAGGACACATGAAGTTAAACTATACAGGGATCATACATATCGCGGTGTGCGGTATATTCCATTCTTCAAGGCATCGTCCCGTTAAGGGATCCTTGAAGGTCCTTTTGTCATTTTAGGTTCTAGGATTGTTTAATGAATGCCCGAGGCTAATCGAGGCATAGTTCCTCAAAACTTCGATGGGCTTTTGGATATTCAAGGACCTTGACGCAGCGGATGTCGGGCTGTTTGGAAGTATCTCAATCGGACTGCCCAGTGCCATAGCCTTTCCCGAAATGTTTGGAAAGCCTGGCACCGAGTTTTCAACCGTTCTACAGCTTAGGCTTCAGGAGTTGCCCCAAGCCCTCAACCCTAAGTCCTTTAAACCCTCAACCCTAAACCCCTAAACCCCTAAACTAAACCCTAAACCCTAACCCCTAAGCCCCTAAACCCCTAAACCCCAAAACCCTAAACCCTAAACCCTTAAACCCTAAACCCTAAATCCTAAACCCCTAAACCCTAAACCCTAAACCCCTAAACCCCAAATCCTAAACCCCTAACCCCAAATCCTAAAGGTCTCTTTTTTTTTAAAAAAAAAGGTCTACATGGGGATCAGTGGCTCCACCCAACTGATTTGCCCGGTGGTCGGGAAGCTGTCGGACCGCAACTTGGCCGAATCGCTGGGTTTAGGGTTTAGGGTTTAGGGTTTAGGGTTTAGGGGTTTAGGGGTTTAGGGTTTAGGGTTTTAGGGTTTTAGGGTTTAGGGTTATAGGGTTTAGGGTTTTGGGTTTGGGACTCTTAGGGCCTCCCAGTCCCTGGGGTCCCAAAATAGCCCAAAGTCGGTACTAGGTTTGATGATATACATCCTTTAAAGGGATCTATAAGGGTACCTTTAAGGGGCTCCTTAGGGATCTATAGGGTTTAGGGTGTAGGGTTTAGGGATATGAACCCTGCATTACCCATTATAAGGAATATGCCATATTTCCCATATTCCAGGGCCCTGAAGGTAATGCAGGATTTACAACATCGACCGTAGTATTACTGTTTATAGACTTAGACCCCAAAATAGGTACTGTTTGTATACTTGGAGCCCTAGGCAGTATCCTCTAAAAAGCGGTCCTGGGTAAAGGCCTTTAGGTTTTGAGGCAGTTCAGAAAGCTTAAGAGCCCAGCCGCAGCCTAGCCAAGACCCTAATTTGGCATCTGAGCTGCAGTTTGATTGGGCCTCTGGGGGTTGACAGTTGAACCCTAAACTCTGTATGCGTGTCTAGACCTCTTGTCATAGTGGGCTATCGACTGCACGGCGATTATTCATTCCATCTGCGTTTGGCTTTTCGCGTTCCTGCTATCTTCGTGCTTTCAAGCCCAAGCTGTTTGTACTAGAGCTCGTTGGAGCAGTTATCTACTATTTGGTTAAGAACCCCCCAAAAAATAAAAGATATATTCCTTATGGGGGTAATATAGGGATTATTATTTTTATTTTTGGGGGTTTCTTAAGCAAGTAATAGTTATAGTTTGGGTCCGAGGGCTTCTCCAATGGACATTCGACTAGGAGCTCAAGCACCGGGTTGTTTGCGGGGCGAGCTTCTTACTATTCTTTAAACTCTTTACCCCTAAACCCTAAACCCATAAACTAAACCCTAATCCCTAAACCCCTGAACCCTAAACTTTAATTACCCTAAACCCCTAAACCCTTAACCCCTAGACCCTAAACCCCTAAACCCTAACGCCTCTCTCTCGGGGTCTAGGGATTCGGATTCCTGGCTCGGGTTGTTCCCTCAGAAGAACTGGGAGTTTCCGAAAATAGGGGACCCAAATATAGCACCCGAAATAGTAGGATCCCGAATGTGGCGCAGTGATCTGGAGGAGTTCTTCGGGGTCTTGTTGCACTCGAACTCCATGTATACCAGTAAGACTTACTTAGGGGGCGAACAATTTTTAAACCGACAACCTTCTTGGGGCTATGTGGCGTGTTCGTCTTACGGGAGGTACCATGCACAACAGGCTTGAGCGTGGAAGCTTTCAGTCTGCGGCCTCAGATCAAGCACATTAAAACGAATCCTGCGGGCCTTCCTGGAAACGATTTTCGTTGTCGTTTAGGTAGGTCGCTGTGGGACAGGTTGTGAGGGAAGCAGTCGGGCGTTTCAAGAATGTCGTATCTCTCTAGGCCTGAATCCGGAACCTCGAGTAGAACTGACTATTTATGTTGTCGCGATAACGGCATGCGGCCGGGACAACGCCCCGTTTTTGGCCATCATTTTTTCAGCCATGGCTGTACGTCCGTTGGTGCATCCTGCCACGAATCGTGAGCATGAGACTCGAATGAGATGGTTGTTTCGGCGTTTAGGACAAGGGGGTTTTGGCTTTCCTGATTTTAACACATTCTTTACGTTTCCGCAATGCTT